CACACACATTTATTTTGTGAGATCTTGGTTCATTATGTGCAGATTTGTTTATTTGTATTTACGATCTGTCATGAGTTCATCTTGTTCACCACTATTGTACATACCCTACCTTCATTTGTGGTCATATTTTGTTTGTATTCCGTTATCTGTACCTTTGATTCTTTTTTGCTTATGTATAATTTATTGAAACGGTGTCGTATAAGCCCACGCGGGCTGGGCGCGGGAAGCGCACGACACGGAAATAAAGCTTTCATTCATTCATTCATTCATTCATTCATTCATTCATTCATTTTCATTCATTCATTCATTCATTCATTCATTCATTCACACACAAACACTGACACACCACTCATCCACACACACACACACAGACAGGCAGACACATACACACAAACACGCACGAAACACCCATCCATCCATACACACACACACACACACACACACACACACACACACACACACACACACACAACCTCACAATTATAGAATTACACAGGTCAACCCGCAAACATACCAATCTTGCCGAATTTAATAACAAACTTTAACGTTACCGTTGTTTTCTTCCTGTCCTGAGCAACTCGACAAGTACCTCACGTTGCAAATCAAGCGCACATTTTTAGAGCGTGTGTTGTTTTCCCGATATTGGTTGATTCTTTCCTTTGGGTCCCAGTCCGCCGTAGCTCCTCGTCAATGTCATCCTTTTTTACATACTGGTAACCATTGTTGTCAGGATCTTCATAGATGTTATCGACGTCGCTGTCACCATCTGCTGTTGAATATGATTTATAAAAATACAGCCATGAGAAAGTTCGTTATGTTTTAACTTCCATCAATTAATCCTAAATGATGTAAACCATTCCGACTGACGAAATTATACATTTTTTATTGATTACAAAGATAACATTCTCATGTAATTTCCATAATGGATTATATCAGTTGGTCATATTCTTCCACCGAAAGCCACATCTTAACAGAGAAGGCTGTATTACCACTTCCTCTAAATCAAGCAAAGAGGTTATGATTTGAATAAATTATATTCATTGATGTTCACCTTCACTTAACTTCTAAATGTGGCAAGTATGAACTGCCTAGCAGTTACATCTATTAAATTATAGCGATTTACAAATAATTATACAAATTAGGTCTTTATTTATATAATCTCTCTTTTTCTGTAACAGCCTTTCGAATATTCTTGAAGGTGTGAATTCCTGTTGAGTCCCTACCTTCTCTATCTTTGAGAAGAGGCATGGTCACACTAAGTACGTATTATCTAAGGTATCTTGAATAATATAGACAACCTTTTGCATGATTTTGTATGTGTCAGGCCGCAAAGTAAACAAGCACGCCCCACATTCCGTCTTTCCTTCCACGAACTTTGAAACTATTGTCTTAGTAGTGGCATTGTCATTCTGCGTAGTGGTATTAATTTTTATACAGATTTTTATACGAATTTTAACGTCATGATTTTTTTTCAATTCAATTTGATTAAAGTTGTTTTTAATGATAGAGAATGTTACGTGTGCCAAGTCTGAGAAACTTCGGCAAATTTCATTGAGTTGGCTAGTGACATGGCAGTCAATTTTTAAATAAAACTAAGCTGAACTGATAGAAAATTTGTCAAATATAGGGGCAAGATCCCGTACAAGCCATTAAGCCAATTTATTTTCCTCCTCCCATATTCTCGTGTGTTATGCTGACGCTCATTTTACTACTCTCTTTTGTTATGCTAATGATTACTTTACTACCCTCTTTTGTTATGCTTATGAATTTTTTTACCACATTCTCATTTTACCACTCTTTAGGCCACACCAAGTAAATTTTATGGATGACGTCCTTTGGAGACCCTAAATCTAATGCGAGAGGGCGAAAAAAAAACAAGAAGGGCCCTAAAAAACAAGATGCCTAGATTAGAAATATACTAAGAGACGACAAATTTTAGGACACAAATTGAATGAGGTGACACAGTCGAGTGTAACAAGCAAGAAATCTTTTACGCAACATCAAAACAGCAATAAATCAGGTGGAACAGCAGTTGTCGTCCTGTCCTGTTTTCGCGTTACGGGTTTCACGTCAATCTAACGATTTGCGGTACTGTTGTGACTCTTTGGTCATAGTTACAGGAAGCAGAATTTCTTGTTTTTTTTTCTAGGAACAGGTCAAAATCAATGCGCGCGCGGACGTCATCCATAAAATTTACTTGGTGTGGCCTTAGGTAAAAAACATACAAACAAATAAACAAACAAACAAACAAACAAACAAACAAACGAAAAATAGCTGCAGACTGTTACCTACCCATAGCCATATATAGGTGTGAAGGAATTTGGTGAAGTAGAATAGGCTTTTCTCTTCAGCTTGTTTTGCTTGAATCTCTCTCCAAGGACGCAGAACAATTGATCAGAATGGCTGACAAACTGTACATTTAAAAAGATGGCGTTTAAAAACGACCTGAATTTAACTTGTTGATTCTACAGGAAATAATAGAAACAAGCTACAAGCTAACATGTGCAATCCGCGTCTTAAATGGGCATTGGACCTTCGCTGTACGGGTGAAACAACAGAGGCGACAGTTTTGAAGAAAGTGCTCAGAATCGAGGACATACTTCGACTAATAAGGTCATTTCTCATGAATGATTCATACATTTCCTCGAATTTTCAAAACTATAAAAGAAGCAGTGTTCCTTCAACAAACATGTTGATTTAAACGATAGCTTGAATGTGTTTAAAAACTCAAATCTTATTGTTTTGTTAGGCTTTTATCCCTATATCATATATGAGGTTTAATAATTTTTAGCACACTGTGATTTGGAATAATGCTTTTAATCATTATTAATCCTATAATTTCAGCACATTGTCTAAAATTATGGCTGGTCTTATACCCAAAGAAAAACAAAAAGAAAGACCTGAACACAGCGTAATCTTTAACCTTACCACAACCATCGATTTTTAGGTATTCATTTATTCATTTCATTTCATTTAGTTATTTATTGGTGATGCCACAATGCATTACAAGTGGGAGCCAGGCAGCCTAAAGGCTGGTGGCGACTGCCACTGGTACATACGACACAACACAGGACAAGTCAATACAATATACAGGACCTAACAACAAGTTCGGCGGAACACCAGCTTCTGTATCTTTACAACCGCCCCTCGGCGTAAAGCCCCTGTCACATATTTGCGAACTTTCCACGAATTTGTTCCCAAATACCAGACGACTCTACGCCGACCCCACTCCTAACCATGGCTGGCGGGCGTTCGGTTAATCTCCAAGCAGATGTTTCGGTGGCTGCAAAACAGTATCAAATTGGCCAGATTAGGGTTTTAGGAGTAGGCTTTTTGACCCGGGTTCGAATCCGAGCTTGTGCTTTTTTTTAGCAAAATCATTACTATTTTTCACAATTCTGTTGTACATCTGCAAAGAAAATGTTCTCTTTCATGCATTTTAAATGTTTTTACCTCTCAAAGAAATTATGATACGCTCGGATATGGCACCGACGGTCTCAAATGGCAACGACCGCCACGTACTGTCTCAGAAGATTCTCGGAGGAAACTTTAGAGCTAATGTTGATTGTTTTAGACAGGTCTATGTAGGTTTTCCTAAATTAAGGTTTTCAATGATGATATTTAGCAATTTTTTGTCACTCTTATGTAATGGATGAGGCTCTGTAATGGTGCACTTTTGTTGATGTTTAGAAAATATGACGAATAAGAAAGGTCCCTGATTCAATCTGTTGATACTGTGATAAAATAATTAATTTTAAAAAAGGACCTAAGATTTTTAATAAATAATTTATAATGAATACAATGTATGTAGTGAATAATGAATGAAAAACAAAATAATATTTTAATGCCTTAAAGGTGCAAATCCACAAGGGCCACTTCTGGGCACTGGTATAACGCTCACTGCAGCAGCATCTCTTCTGCCTTTGTGTAGAAACATCAGGCTTGGGCAAGCTTACGTTTGTCTAACTAACTCGATAGGAGAAGCACGGATTACGAAGGCTGCTTGGGAAGGCTACCTAAACAAAAATTCTGAGATTCCCACTAAAATGTCACATCGAATTACTTATTAATTTTAATTTGTTATGCAAGGAATGTTAATTAAGAACAGCAAGACACAATTTAGCCAATCGCTACACGTTCTTGTTTGTTTTCACAAATAAACCATTTGATTGATTGATTGATTGATTGATTGATCACCGCAGATCATTACCTAGATTATTTCTGTCCATGCCATCTCGTTTTACGGAGCATAAAAGATCATAAAATGTGAGAGTTTTTCGGCAATGGAGTAATTGTATGAAGGAATTTGTGTCAAATAACTGTGTCAGTTGGATATGCTATATGATAATAACGTCAATGGTCCGCCTTTCCCTCGGTATATATGGTTTGATAATCCCTGGTCGGGTGCGATAAACACCGAATATGCCACCTCATTTGCTACGCTCACTTGGTGGTTTATTCGGTGGCTTTGGCACCTGACCGAGGATTATCTCACCATATATATCTCGGGGCAGGGCATTAACCCTTTTAATCATACCCATGTACCCCGTTTTAGTACCGTACAAAGCCGCTAGATTACCCATAATTGACCTTGACCTAATAGTCCCAACCCCAATCTATGTTCCAAATATCATTAAGATAAAAGCTCCATGACCCCAGTTATATCCGCACAAAAAATATCACCATCCCCTGATATAACACATGACCTTATTGACCAGCATGGAACTACTATTAATTTTGGGTAATCTAGTGTCTTTGTATGGTACCGAAGCGGGCCGGGTACATGTTTTGGAATATAATATATGTACATTTTACATTGTATGCAAATCTCCAAGCGTACGTCTCGGGGCCTACAATCGTACCCGCCGGCCAAGAAACATTGGCGTGTTGACCCAATACAACTGTTGGCGTTAGTGTATACATAACGTCAGACTGTGTCTGTCAACATCCGCGTGCCACGGTCGGCCAAAGTCCGGTCAGTGCTTACATATGCGCTACTTTATTAGAACTTGGGCGGCCATGTTTTGCTGCTAGGTAATACTAGCGCGGTCCGACTACCATCTTTTTTGATACATCTCAACCTTGTAAGGACTGGTTTGCAGGCTAAAATATGGAGAGGGCCAAGTTGGACAGGTCTTCGGAGACGGTGGAAGTGGAATGGTCCGCGGGAGGGGTGGACTGGTTCCCGTACGTTTGGCTGAGGGACAACTGTCAGGTGGGTCAACAAAAGTGGTAGGTTCCAGATAGAATTGGGGAGCTTTCGTCATGTTGTTTTCACAGTCTCATCACAGTATCACAGCCAAAACTCTCTGAATACTATTGGCATAGGACACGAACTTTCTGTAGTTTGATTAAAATAATTTCATGGATTAATCTCCAAGCAGATATTTTGGTAGCTGCAAGACAGTATTAAACTGGCCGTGCAGTTTCCACCCTAACGCTGTCATAAAAAAATACCATAACAAAACAAAAAGCCTAATATCAAAAACAGGCTTGGAGAGTATTTATGGATATGTCAACAGCTCGAAGCAGCTGTTAAGAGAATGTTGATTCTTGACACCCTTCAGTAACAAACATTGAGAGGATAACGAAGAAAACAGTAATAATAATGGTAACTTTTATTCAGAAGCACAGTGATGAATACAAATAAAAGGACATGTAACTGCGAACTCAAGTTAGGTACCACTTCTATTCTCGCAGCCACTTATTGTAATTTACGAAATAATCATTACAGCAACTGTTTGTCGTTTGGAAACAATGCACATTCCCCCCAAAAGATTAATTGAAGGTTGTCATGTTCTGTTTTGACCCGGCAGTGCTCGGAGTGTTTCCAGGTCGACCTAAACAAACGCTTGGTGCTGACGTCACGGCTGGATCTGGACGTTGCCCCCGACCATGCAAACGTGCAAGGTGAGTTTTTATATAAATATGATCGAAAATGAGTGCAGGATTGGATATAATGGATTGTACACTACACCATGATAAGCGCCTATTCCTGTTTTCTTTTCGCTTGTTGAACTGACTTCAATACATCAGATCCTGTACTTAAATCCAATTACATTCTCAGGGGAGATAACCAATGCAGTGTTCAAACAGGGAAATACATTTAAGAATGTCTAAATCTTAGAGACAACATGTTAGAGAATAATTAAACCCTTATTGTTGCCGCTGGCATATATTCTGTACGAGGTTTGCCGCATACATATTATATTCTTTACGTAGGATGCCTTTATTTATACATATATTTAGCTTTGTTAGACCTTTAGTTATAGAAGACCATACAAAAATTCCTGTGCTTTTTGTTGAGTAAATAAAGAATGTCTATATAATTGAGCGGTCATGTAGGTCGTCGTACGATTTTGATGTCATTTTCAAGCAACCAGCAGCCAAACCAACAGCCAAAAAGGATGTAAGGGTACCTTTTCCGTAATAATATAAGGCTGCTGAATTTTGAACAAGAGTTCCACGGTCTCATTCCTTCGCCAAATGCTGTTAAATGCCATTGTTGTTTATGTACAACACTGGATATGTTTATATTGTTTTGTGTTTTTCTTTGTTGACCTCTGATCCTCCTAATAATTTGAAATCACCTTATTATTTTGTAATTTTGATATCATTTCTACAAGTTTTTGTTGTTTATCTTTCGCTTGATGTGTGGGACCCCAGGATTTAGGACGAGTAGTGCCGAGGCGCTAATGGTGATCCGAATAAAAACAAACAAACAAACAAACAAACAAACTTCTAACATGTCACTGACTTTCCTTCATGTTAGGTAGGAGAAGCACGCTGTCCGTGACGTCATTCAAATGTTGCACTTCCGCTCATTTCAGATAGGGGGAGCACCTTACACGTGACGTGGCCGGACGGACACCGGAGCGAGTACGGCTGGCAGTGGCTGCGGGACCGCTGCTTCAGTCCCCAGGCCAGGGCGGACAGGGAAACACGCTGGAGGAGAAAGGTAAAGGACAACCTGAAAAAAAAAAAACGCACCGACATTTTTTTTATTCCAACATGTAATCACCAGACGTGGTGACGACACACTCAAGTTTTATCAACTTATATTAATGCCGCCACCAACACAGGGGACAAATACATGACAGGACAATACTCATTTACACCTGAGCTAAGTGAGGACAGCCGTGTTAAGTGCCTTTCCCAAGGACACAAGATCGGTGGCATGTCAGGACTCGAACCCGGGACACCGACATTTGCATTCAGAATGTTCATGATTTCGTTTAGTGTATCTCGACAAGTCAGTGACATGTTAGAAGTTTGTTTGTTTGTTTTTATTCGGATAAAAACAAACAAACAAGCAACTCAAGCAACTGGATGTGATTTTGGAAACGGTCAGACGTTTCAGGTAGTATCCACTACCGTCCGTCAGTGTCTGAGAGACCAGAGGAGAAATGCAGGTTTATAAGCACAAACTATTGATTTATATGGAAATAAGTGAAGACAATTTTTGGAAGTCCAATTAGATGCATATCCATCAATAATTTGTGCTTATAAACTTGCATTTCTCCTCTGGTCTCTCAGTCACTGACAAAAGGTAGTGGATACTACCTGAAACGTCTGACTGTTTCCAAAATCATTTCCAGTTGCTTGAGTAACTGTTTTTTTGGCATATCTTATTACCTGGATGTCTCACCTTCACCGACGTATTGTGTAATATTTCTCCAGAAGCAGCTCTGGGGAGCCGAACTCTTCACAAACCTCCCCACGGCTGATTTTCCCGCGCTTTTGTCAGACGACCGCGCCTTGTACGACTTCCTGTTTCTCCTGGACACTATCGGCCTCGTTCTGGTGCAGAACGTGCCACGTCAGCCTGGGCAGTTTCTCAAGCTGGCCAATCGCGTGGCGTTTCCCAAAATGACCTTCTTAGGGTCGGTATATCTTATTTTTTTCCTCTGTATTTTCTATTTATCAATCAATTCCGTGATACATATATAATACTACACGGTGTATTCCGTATCGCCCGAGGTAACAGCCCGACCGCGGGTCGGATCACCCGACGACCGCACGTGTTGTATTCTATTTATGCCATACCCACCCAATAAAACAGACATTTCAATGCGAAATTTGGTGCATCTAAACAAAAAGGTTAATCCGAATTCAACATCCGAAAACATCCGAATTCGGTGTTCGAAGTTTCCAAAGAGCGAACTCGGTGTGCGCGAAACGCGTTCGAATTATTTTCTTGAACGTTTGGAAGCCCGTGTGATAACAAAATAGAACCCCAGGCCGTACCGCTAGTTAAGCCATGTTGATTTGATTTTATGGATGACATCCGAGCGCGCATGAATTTTCGGCCGCCCCCCAAAAAAGTTTTCAACGATACTTTAAATCGCACAAAACAGTTGCAAAACGAGCAAATATATACTATAAGTTAAAAAAAAAAAAAAAACTAAAAGATTGGTAAATGATACCAATGTCGTAGAATACCAAAATCAAACAAAACAGATGAAAATGTAAGGAAATGAATTTGAAGAGTAGATTATTTGCCATATCATACTTCATGACCACGTTGATTTCATAATGAAAGCAACTTCTTTTTGCTAAACTTTTTTTTATTTGCACGTTCGCATCAGTTTGGGGGTTCCAAGAGGTTTGAGTATATGTCATCCATATACTCAAATCAACATGGCCTTATCACACGGGCCGGAACACCTGTATGGAACGTTATCGCGGCTCAGGTATGATATACTAGGTTTGACGTTCCTTCTGCACCAACAGGGCGGAGCAGATGTTGAAAATCCAGCCCATCCACGGAAACTTCCTCCTGAGCACAGACCCACTTGGACTGCACACGGACCTGGCGTACTACAACTACCTGCCTGGCGTGAGTATGGAGGTTCTGTTACTACTGCAGCGTTAAAAACACAGCTGCAAATTTTCACACACACACACACACACACACACACACACACACACACACACACACACACACACACACAAACAAACAAACAAACACACTCTGTACATAGAAGTGTCCGGGAGTACCTCTGTACGTCTTCCAACAGGTCCAGATGATGCACTGCATCAAGCAGACGGAGTCGGAAGGGGGCGCTAGTGAGCTTGTGGACGCCTTCAACGCCGCCTACCAGCTGAAGCAGGAGAACCCGGACGCCTTCAAACTCCTCACCGCGGTCAAGGTCAACTTCCACAGGATCGGGAAGGCCGAGCCCAGGCACCACATGAAGGAACGACACCATATCATCAGGTGGTAGCCCACGTTTAAAAAAAAATCAATCCCAATCATATCAACGTTAACCTTACAAAACTATAACTACTAGTAAGCAGGCTACTATATATATATAGCTGGCCCAAAATTGACCATGACTTTCATCTTGCCAAGACCTAAGTACATACAAAATATCATCAATTGACTGAAAAATAGAACTCATTGGCTTTTTTTGTCCCCTTCTCGTTTTCTTCTAAAGTCTTTAGCTTTATCAACATGTACGACAGTTTTCCCATCTGCTGTAACGAATAGACATTTGAGTGTTGTGTTTTTGTTCAGCGTAAGCGACAAGGGGGAGGTACAGAAGGTGGTGTGCGGGAAACACTCCCGTGATTCCGTGCTGGACGTGCCGCTGGACCATGTCAAACCTTTCTACCGGGCCATGAGGGCGTTCGACGACATCCTGGCTCACCCCAGGAACTGCATCCGCTACAAGATGAAAGAAGGCGAGTCGAGCTTTTACCCTTATTTAATTATTACAACAAGTATTTTTAAAGGTCCAGTTAATCCTCAGCATCAGATTGAAGCTGTTTCGAGCAGAGAAGCTAGTTACCTTCATAGCCAGTATATTTTCTCCAAACACTTTGCAAATTGTTTGCAAGGGACTGTAGTCTTGACCAGACTAACTACGCTGGCTATATATATAGGAAAATATTTGCCAGGGGAGTTTGGCCGCCTTGTAGGTTTAACTGGCCGCGCGAAAGAAACTACCTCCCCGCGGCCGGACTCCCTTTGCCAATTTTTTTGCCGAATCCTGCGATCCGTATTGCCGTAGAAAGGCCTGGTGGGGGCTAAGGGACTGCGTGGCTGCAATTCGGCGCCACCAGGTGACTTCAATACGACTTTCCCCAACCGGAGTTAGGTACCCATTCACACCTGGATGGAGTAAGGAAAGTCGTGTAAACTGCCTTTCCCAAGGACACAACGTTGGGGCGCATGTCTAGACAAATCGAACCCGGGTCTCATAGTTTCAGAGTCAAACGCTCTACCACACTAAGCTACCCGACTCCACCGAATCTAGCCCTACTCTCCCTTCTCCAGGGGTGCCAAAGAATTTATCAGAATTTTATGGAATTCATACGATCCTTACTAGGCAACATACGAAGTTTACGGAATGCATACGGTCATTACTAGAAACACACGAAGTTTATGGAATACATACGATCCATTACTAGAAGCATACAAATTTTACGGAATACATACGATCCTTGGGCTGATCCTTGGTGACTTGCACCACCATCACGTGACATCGGCAGCAAATTCAAGATGGCGGACTATTATAGCGATGTTCTCTAATATCTTAGTTTAAAAGAATTTTAAAGAGATAAGTTTTATAACTTTTTGCCTCATCCTCGGAAAATAAATGTGAATAAAATAAAAAATAAATAATTTTAAGGGCTTATCCTTCCCTGCTAAACCCCAAACTGCACTTATGCGGGCTTCTTTCACGACATAGTAGCCTGTATTTTAGGCCAAATAGCAGGGCGATGCTGGGAATCGGTGGAACCAGTGATCGCGGCGGCAAGTCACCAAATAACCCCAAATGACCCCAAATTAGTAAGTACCGTATATTTCCGCGTAACGGATCGTATGTATTCCGTAAACTTCGTATGTTTCCTGGTAGGATCGTATGAATTCCGTAAAATTCTGATGAAGTCTGTGGCACCCCTGCTCTCCGTGTTTTCCAGGAGACATGTTGGCGTTCGACAACCTCCGTGTCCTGCACGACCGCACGGCGTTCAGCCTGTCAGGCGGAGAGAGGCACCTGCAGGTCGGGTATGTGGACTGGGACGAGACCTACTCTCGCATGCGCGTCCTGCAGGCCGAGCTGGGCATCCAGGAGTGATAAGTCAAAATTTTGCTTTAGGCCACAGCAAATAATTTTTATGGATGACATCAGCGTGAGTATTGAATTTAGCTTGATTTTAAAAAACAAACAACAAACCAACCAACCAAATACTTTGTTGCCCTCTGACATGCCAAAAATTGGCAAACATGTCTGTTGCCATACCGGAACGTGGATGGCGGATAAATATGAAGAATGAAGAGAGGAGACAAGACAAAGCTCTGATAATTTTTTTTGTCTACCAACGCACCAAGTTATATAGTATGGAACCAATTCATCCACCAGGCGTTCTTCAGTTACCTTATTGTCATTCCAGATTTCATTGATAGAATTTGCAATATCCGTTCATGAAGTCAATGCAAATGGCTTTAATATGTATTGGCAATATGTTACAATTTCTGTATGTTTTTTTTCTTGTAATTTATCGAAAAGTTTTCTAATATCTTCCCTATTATTTTATCTAACTTTCAACACCAATCTACAACTCAAAACGAGACATTTATCAAGAGGACTATCACTCTTTATTTTCAAGTGCAAACAGGAAGAATATATGTCAGCGCCACAAACAGGAAAGCAAAATTCAAATATTAAAACCGCAATTAAGAAATTTAACTAACTTTTACATCTTCATCATGTATATACAGTCAAACATACACAAGCTGTCTCCACTTTCAGCCAATCATCTGGCCATAACGGTTTTGTCAACATGCTTTTTGTACTTGCCTAAGAAGACCACTTTTAGACAAGTTTGACTGTACTTTTCAAATCTAACATCTTATAAATCTTATAAAACGTTTAGATCGATGCAATTCAGAGCAATTATTCAATAACTTTGACATTGCTTTTGCATACCAGTTATAATTTTTTCTTACACAAATATGTGTATAGATTTTTTTTGCTACAACACGAATTCACATTAAAGGAGATAAAATTATCATCAAAACGTCCAGCTGTCCGAGCGTTTACACTTACATCCTACGTGACCATGACGAAGTTTCCAGTCACGTCATTAAATTTATTGATATTTAATTAAACACTAGCAAAGTCTAGATATGAAGAATTCAACATGGAAGTTATCACACCAGTCGTATGCACAGGATGTTGTCAAGCCTAGGGCATGTCGTACTGACAGATGTAGTAGTTGCTGCTTCCACACGACATGTCGTCCCAGCGGAAGTTCGCCAGAGTCCACAGGTGAACACAGTTCTTTGTGGCGTCACCGTTTGGTTCTCCTGGAATATAATATAATGCGTTCTAGTATTATCATGAACACTGTACTTACTGTAATACATTTTAAGCACTCTAAAATGTTTGTGTGTAGCGTAGGCCCCCTTCACTCGAAAGAATGCCGTCTGATGGAAAATTCTTTGTATATTCATGAATATACACGCATAAAGTGCATTCTAGAAAATATTCACAACATTCCAAATAGTTTTTGCCTATTCTGTTGGCCAGCCTAAATGTTTTGGTCATGCTCAATGCATTCTCCCATGCAGAGCTCCCAACCGCGGCAATAGCGTCGGTCACAACCCGCCGTACGTGCTTCTGCGTGCTTCGAGGTGATTTTAAAGTAGATATATCGAAAGTCATTCAAAATTTATTCAAACTTTTCTCTCAAATGTGTTCAACAAACTCTCTTCTCTATATATTGATGAAAATGTGAAGGAATACCTGGAGCCCAGGCGTTGTAGGCCAGTTGAGTCCCATCAGCCCACACAAACTGTCCTTCCAAGTCGCGGTCAGTCAGGCCGATCCACACGTCCTTGTTGGGCACGGACAGCAGTTGGACAAGGAAGTCCTGAACATGCTGGTCTTTAACGGTGACCACAGTCCCTCCTCCTCCAGCACACATCATCTCCGCTTCGGCGAACGTTACCGAGGTGTCCGATACAGTGAAGCACTTCCCGTCGAACATTGTGCAGTCTGCATTGTTAACAATATGGGAGTCTGTTTAGTTTGCTAACAATATGGGGTCTGTTTAGCAAGATACACTATATAATGTTTACAAGAAGCAAACTTATGTGTAAAATTATTGTGATTGCACAAACTTGTTAGTTACTACAATATTTCTAATTCCTTTTTGTTCTCAAAATTATATGTTGTTGAGCCTTGATGCCAGGTTCTGAACCAGCTACCCTGTTCACTGTGACGTAATGGGCTGAATTCAATTATGATCACGTGGCGACAGACATCATTTGCAGGAAATATGATTTGTATGTATTGATGTTCAATAACATTATAAAGTTTTAAATTTTGTAAACTGAACATCTAATTTACATAATGTAAATTATGTTTGAGTGTACATGTAATCAGGAAATGATTTATCTTGGTGATTTGATGTCACAAGCACTTTAAAAAATGTACATGAAAATACACACCATATGATTCACCCGTGTTACATATTGCTTAGATAGTGCTAGTCAAAAATATTCCAACATGTTCATTCCACACAAGGAACTTTGACTTACCATCACACTGAAACGAGCCTCCTGTATTGACGCAGATCTGATTTGGGCCACATGTGTTCAGGCTGGCGTCGAGGCATTCATTTATGTCTGTGATAAAAAAATTGGGTTGCATGAACATCAATCAATCAATAACATACTGAATTCTAACCAAATAGAAATTACACATTTTGATTCAATACTTTTGCATTGGAGTTATAGTTGGAAAATGTTACATATTTCAAACATGTATCGCATGTACATTTTCCCCAAATGACAATAATTTACTTTTCAAAGGAGGCTCAAATTGAGGACAAACAGAATTCGGAAAGCTGTAAATCAGACTCACATTCAAACAATACCATGTGACGAATAAGTCATATATGGGAGTTGTGATACCGGGTGTGTTGTGATAAACACGTCCTTATCTTTTACATGTCGTAAAATTAGTTCTAGTAATGCATTTTGTTTTACTGTATATGCATATATTCACCGTCGCAGTTGTCTCCTTGGTAACCTTGCTCACAGGTACAGTAATAGTCGCCTTCAGTGTTGGTGCAGGTGGAATGATCTGGGCAGTAACCGACGTAACGGCACTCGTCTATATCTGTTATAGGAAAAACCTATAGATTAATTATAAAATTGAAAAATTGAAAGGTTGTAAACAAGACTAGGAGGAAGCGAAATTGTAAAGAAATGTAACAACAATGCAACCAACTCGATCATGACCCTTTCGCTAGTGTATGCTACCGGTAAAAGGTAACAGTCATGGTTTCAAAAGGCCCTACCTGCACAAAGTGGCCCGTCGTAACCTGGCAGACACTGACAGGAGTAGCCGCCTGGGCGGTTGATACACCTGGCATTGGGGCAGATGTCAGGATCGGCACACTCGTCTATGTCTAGTTGCAATAAGTAAAGAAATTCATTTGAAGTGGGAACATTAACCTTCACTTTAATGCATTTATTACATCACTGTGTAACAACTGCACAATCTAAAATTACAATTACGCCTGCCAATATTACTGTACAAGTATAGGACCTGGTATATGTATCTGTGAATAAATATGTTCAAAATAATTTATTACATCAAACATGGTATGGTCTGTGATGAAACATGTAAGTTCTAAATATACATACCTTCACATTCTTCTTCATTCACAGGCCGATATCCAATCATACAGTGGCAGAAATAGCCGGTGGCGTTCAAAAGGCATGGATGAATCCCACAGTCACAGTCAGCAAATTCTACAATTAAAAAAACAACCACTTTTAACAACGAAGTGCCCTCTTTCGTGTGACCAGGAAATATTCCAGTTGTATTTTACGGCATGATTAAGATTGTACACGTACACACCTTGGCATTCGCTGATATCCTTGGCTCCTGGTCCTTCAGTGGTAAACTTGTCAGGACACGACTTACAGTCGGTTTGTCCAAACTCATCTTGATATCTGGCATACCCACAAGGCCGACAGATGCCGTCGAAAGTGTCGTGGTATGTTCCTGGCCCGCAAGGAACTATCAAAATATAATAATACAATCGAGTATCTTAAAGCATTTAGGTTTGATAGTTAAACTTAGTATAGGAGCAGCGAATTGTAAATGCTTCCGCAACTTATGAATAAATGCAAATAAGACAGTCATTTACATGGATTGTATCAGTTGATTGCCAATGGCAGCCTTATGTTAACAGAAAAGAAGGCTATATATACAAATGAAGACATGTTAAGCATCACTCAAGATACCTATGTACAAAAAATCACAGCAATCACGCGGTTCTTGACAATGACTTATCTTCCTGCAAATATTTTATACAACCGCATCTGAAGTTCCAGAACAAGCGGTTAGTCGTCCGGAACTTACACCACTTATCCCGAGCCCCAAGAGCTTACCACTATCCAAAAGTCATTAACCTTTCAGTTCCAGAAAATATGACCTCCAGCTGAAGCTCCGGTATAGTACCATAAATATACGCAAGGATTTTATTGAACCTGACCTTCCTCTTTTCGACCCCTACCTTTCCAGCCCACTGCAGTACAGTAGGAAAACCACTACTCACCTAACAAATATCATTGATATCCATCCACATCTTCTCGAGATATGCTGTTGACATACATACAGACCACAGCCACAACAGAAAACATAAACTTTTTTGCCGATGGCAAAAGTACTACTATTCACTACAAAACATTGAAGTCGTGGGAAGGGTAAAAAATGACGAACGGAAAGGTAAAGATCTTACAGCAATCAATCCCCTGCATGATTTGCCCCTCCTTGCATCCCAGACTGGGGTTGGAGATGGTTATTCCGTTGTCAGCTACGGACAGGTTCTGGCCTCCGATCGAAAGAGTCAGGCCTCCTACCTGAACCAATTCCTGCAACTCCAAGGCTTTTTGCCTGTGGATAGTCATCGTAAGTTAGCATGACATTTTCATGTAAAGGCTTACTTAAAAATGCAGCCTTTCAATATAGTTGGATCCACATGTTTTCTTGTTCTAGTGCCAGTGATAAATTCATTGCCATTTGTATTTATCCCAATCCATTTGTGAACAATCATGTTTTCGTTCATAAAGTACCCATTATTTTGCCTTGATCACAGTCAACATTCAGCAGTTTTACGTTTAGGCATCTATAGCATGCGTTCCCACTGGAGAAAAATTAGCAAGAATTGTTTTTATTCTCTACCTCAGTACTCCTGCAATCCGAACCCATTCCATCTGTATTGTGTTAGTCGGGGTAATCAGGGCCGGATCGGCGTAAGCTCGGAGTTGGACGCTTATCTGGTACTGGATTCCCCCTGATCTCCCTCGTCCGTTGGATATCTGAACTGTAATGCTACCAATCTGTGAAATAAAATATACAGATGACAAAGTATAAAACCGTGGGTCTGAGTATTTTCCTAAAAGCTCACATTTTCAGGCATATTTGATGTTCTGCTCACCTCACATGGATTAATGCACAAGGCAAGCTGTCCCAACTGATACTTCATCTCATCTTCTATAGCGGGCATGTCGAGGGGCGCTCCTGCTGTGATGATCAGTCCGCCCACGGTTATGGGAATGAACGGGTTCAATGGTGCTTAAAGGAGAAGAGTAAAAAAAAAGGTCAGTTTCTTTATCCAGTCTAACGACTCTAGACACATAGCGTAATATGAAAGATGGCCTACGTAAAGAAACAAAGAAAACAGTTTAGTTAACAAAATATTTCTTATACTTACGGGAACATACTCCCACTGAGACGAGGGAAAATGTCGTTACGCCCGAGTACACCTGCCGGACCTGCCAACGCCACGCCGTGTCCACGCTACATTCATACATCGATGCCGAAGCGGCGCTGTAGATGAGTGGGGAGTTACAGTGCATCTGGCAGTATTCCACTGTAATTGTGCCCTGCGGACTGTCGAAGCAGACTTTGGAGCCATCTTTAGGTGCAGAGAGATGAGTCCTGTTGCATAAGTTGCTTGCTGAAAATGAATGACACATTTCAGAGATATATGATATGGCGTTTTAATTTTTTCTCATTTTCTTGACAAATTCTATAATCCATGTATTACTACCTATCGCAAATGAGAATATTTGGGCACTGAAAATGTAAAAAATCGATACCAATCTGTTTTTAAATGCCGACACAATTTGCTTCTTTAAACAAACAAGGCTACCTCTTTAACACCTTCTAACAACAGGTTACATATTCCTGTCTATATATATAATATACAAGACAATGACTGGCCATAAATCCTCAAAGTTGTTAAAATATCAAATATTCAATCAGTACATATGGCCTGGGTTTTAATTTTCAAATCTAAGTCATGTGATCTTTTTTTAGCGATTTCTACCTTCGCAATATGGTGGTACTCCCCATCCTTCCTCAGTGCACGTGTAAGTGTTGTTACCGACCAGGGTGAAGCCAGGATCGCAGGTGTAAGTGACGGTATCCCTGTGGAATATTCCGGTCAGGATCCTTTCGCCGTTCCTTATTTCTCCGGGGTCACCACAGCTGATTCCTGTTATATGAAGAACAAACTAGGAATATTAAAAAAAACGACGTATTTCATCTAGCAAGGAAGCAATTATGGAAAGGCTAAAGAGCTGACATGTTAGCAAGACTAACCTACAGACAGGCCAATACAGGCAGATCATGTCTTGGATTTCCTCATATTTTACCACTATCGACTTGTGAGATAACATTATGATGATCTAACTTGTTGCGTACAATGAATACCTAGTCATTTATTTGCCAAACGGTTGCTTTAATAAGCATGGCTTCTCACAGTAGTGTAGACTTTTGAATAATTTTCAGTCTTCTACAACTGACACTATTTAACATTAGCTGGGAAGGCAGGGTTAACTGTATTAGGTTTCTGCTTTTGATGAATATTTAGATACTTAATAACATGATGTTAGAGGTAAGCGTCTTACTTTCACATGATATTGCTTCTCCCTCCCAGACTCCACCTGCGTTGCAGTACAGCATGTTTGCATATCCGCTGAGCTTGTATCCCTCGTTACAGAGAATCTGTATTGTGCTGCCGAAGCAGTAGCCTGATGGAGCGGTGACGTATCCATTTTCCACTGCTATGGAAGCGTTACAGCAGGATTCTGTGTGTACGATGTGTAAATTTAGAAAATATGATAAGAAATCGTTAACAATTGAGCCACAGAAATCATTTACATGATGTAGCCAAAACAAGTAGATGAATGTCGACAAATCACTTGATATCGGAATAACTTTCTGATAGGGTCTTCTTTCTGTTAAGACGCCTATATCTCTTGGGCGATTCTGTGGCTATGTCTCCTTTCAGTTAGAATTAGAGGGCTGACTATATCAGTGGTTTAGATAATGACAAAAGAAGTGGATGAGGAGGATACAAAGAGAAGAGGTGGACAGGGCGATGTAGGAACAAATTACATCTGGAATTCAAAGCTGTTCACATTGAGTACAGTACATACTGTCACATTCGGGAATAGGCTTGTCCCAGGTTCCTGATTCAGTACAGGTCAGATCAGTATCCGATGACGTCAGATCGTATCCGTTGTAACACTCGAGAGAGACTGTGTCGTTGTAGCAGGTTGTACCGTTGTAACTACCATGTTGTAAATATGGCTGTACACAGCACGTCTCTGTTAGGGTGAAGAGTAGATGTACACAACTGAATGATGCAATAACTAATCCATAGAAACAGTACCATATGCCATGCAAACAGTCGAGACAAATGTAAACTTTCACAATCAAAAATGACAATCAAAATAAGGGAAAACAATCCTATAAGCGAACGTAACTGAATTATGACTAAGCCTTGTTTATTCTATAAACAGGAATACATATTGCTTCATCCGTTATATCACATGATGTATGACGTATTCCAGGCTAACGGGTAAACAAATAAAGCATGTTTTTCCATATTGTAGACGAATTTTGATGTAAAAGGGATATAAAAATTCGTACTTTGGCACAGTAATGGACTGCCGGACCACTCTCCACTAGCTTGACAAGTCCTGACGGCGTCCCCACTGACCATGTCGTACCCAGAGTCGCAGCTGGTGGTAGCAGTGTTGCCAAATGTGCTTCCAAACACTGTCATGTCACTGTTTGGCGGAGTCTGAAGCATGCTACATTCTACGACTGGAGTGATTTTTTTTTAAATCAGAATTAAGGCAATGTCAACGGTGAAGTGATAGCAATTGTATAACGTTATAAGAAGAGACCAGTAAGTTAACCTGTGAAAAAAATACAGTATTTCAGCAATAGATTAAATCATTCATGCTACAGCGATACATGTTGAATTGCTGGTTCTTGTCATGATATAGGTTTTTCGGGGGCCATTGTGACGCCTACGTTTTACATTTCGAGGCTTAAAGACTAACCCCATTGCCCTGCTGATGAGGATGACGTATTAAATAAAAGACTGTACCGTGTAGGACTTGAAAACTATAATCAGCTCGAGCGTCATAAATTCAATACTTTGTCAATTGTATTTTGAACTTTTAAAACAGCCTGTTTGTATGTATACATACACATCCAGGCTTTGATTATACTGCTGCCAGCTTCCCTGTCTCAGGGGTGGGTAGCTGTCGGCTAGTCAATAGTAATAAATCATTTGTATAGATAGTAGTTTGTAGTAAGAAATGTAATAAGATTAGTTTATGTAATAAGTTTAGTTTTGTAGTATTGTTGTATTTCTGCCACACATTGTACCATGTACAATTGTCGAGCAATAAAGTTCATTCATTTATTCATTCATTCATTCATTCATTCATTCATTCATTCATTCATTCACAATTCGGCTTGTAAAAGATGCGCAGTTGGATTTCATGGCGACTTGTCTATTTGGCTGATCTACTGTGATACGTACCATCACATGTCGGTTGTACTCCGCTCCAGATGCCATTGTCCCCACACACTCTGACATCGCTGTTGGCGAGTTGAAATCCAATATCACAGGAAAATGTGACTTGGTCTCCATAGAAATTGCCCCCGGTGAGGTTACCATTGGTAGGGGGTCCCAGTGGTGCACAATGTTTTCCTAGAGTAGAAGGATAATGCAATTTTATTTCAGTCACTTCCTTCAGTCGAATCAACAAGATTCAAAAGGTCCACTGTGGTTCCATAAGTTATTGAGTAGCATTATTCAGCATTATTCACACACACACACACACACACACACACACACACACAACAACACACACACACACAACACAACAACACAACAACACACAACAA